GGGCGCCGCCATCTTTTTTTGATGAAAAAGTGCTTCCGGTGAGCTTTCTACCCGGAAAAGCTCACCGGAAGCACTTTTTCATCAAAACAAGATGGCGGCGCCCAGCAAACCAGCGGCCCGGTAGGATTTGTTCCACGGACCGGTACCAGTCCGCGGACCGGTGGTTGGGGACCCCTGCTTTAAAAGGCCTCCGTACCCCAATGTTTGGGTCCTCCAAGCCTTCCCCTTCTCCTACAAGGCTTTTCCCGACTCCCACTGTATCTCTGCAATCCTTAGGCCTGACTCCCACCCCACCAGACAGCACAGCCTTCTCCTCCGTACCTTTTGAAGAACTCTGAACCTCATGTTGGTGAAGGAGAGAAGGACATGCATCTCTGGGCTGCCTGAGTGTTGTGGAAGCAGCCACAATTTTGACTGTGCCTGGGATTCATCCCTGGGCCATGTGGTGGACTTGTGGAAGCAGCTGCCATTTGCCATGTCTGCCTCTGGGTCAAAATGCTGGGTGCTTCTGGGTCATTGTCACATGGGATGGTATAAGGCTCCTGTCTTGAGCATTGGGTTGGACTAGAAGACCTCTAGGGTATCTTCCGAGCCTATAATGCTATGTTTCCAAATATATCACAAGCAAGTCATACTTTTAAATTAGATTGTAAGAAAATAAATCTATCCTAAGAAAAATGTACCAATAAATTTGTCAGTTATAATTTAAGGTAATAGCAGTAGAGAATTGTTTTTCTTATCTCAAAAAAATGATAATGTTGCATGTATTTTCTCTGTCTTATCAATAAAATAGGCAACCAGGCATCAGAAGAAATTAAGGAAAACGATATTGAGGAGGTGTGCTTAGGATCATCAATCCTTCTGGTTGAAAGTGGAGAAGAAAAAGGAGAAGGAGAAGAAAAAGGAGAAGAAAGAGAGAAATCATGTGCAGAACAGTAAATTACTTCATATTAAATATTTCATGAAAGTATTTTATTCCTGTCCATGTTAGTGTAGATAAATGATCAATTGTTGAGAGAAAGGTTAATTGGTTTTTCCCATGTTTTGGTAATTAATGTGGGGTGAGCCTAGGTCTTGCCTTGTAAGACACAGAAAGTGTCTTACAAAGTTAAAGGATATGGGTGATAATTAGTACATTTCCCAAAGGAGTTGAGAAAATACTGTATGTGCATAGTTTTTCTTTAAGGGTTAGGAATTTAAAACAATTATTAAGAACATTTAGAAAATCCTGACTGAATGGTTTAATTCTCTTCCCATTTAGATGTGCTTTAATGAAGAAGCATTTTATTTATCCCAAAATTTTACCAAGTCTAAGGGTTTTTCTGCAGGAAAAGAAACAGAAGAATGATGTATTGAAGGATCAGCTTCTAAACAAATAAAAATGTCAGGACCTATGTTATCGTTATAAGCCATGAAAGTGTTCCGATAGTACAATGAGATTCGAATGCCGTTGCTTAAAGAGCAGCTTTATATAAAAGATTTTGGCATTTGTAATTGAAAACAAGTTAGTCATATTTTTGCTGTGACATTTAAAGTGACTGAGTTGAGAAAACAGCAGAATTGTGTAAAATGGGTTGAACTTGTTTGTTGCAGTTTTAAACCAATCACTTTATTCCCTAAAAAGTACAGAGAATGTGTAATATGCAGCTCCTTTCTGGGTTAAAGTCTTGACTATGATTTTACTTCTGAATAAGAGAGTTGTCACTGTTGGCACTTTGAAGAAGTCCAGACAAAGTTTTCTGTGTGGATCTGTAAGAGATACATATTCAGGATTCTATACAATCATATTAAATAATTTATCTGTTGGGAGGTTATCACTAAAGCCACAATTTCATCTCAGAAATGAATTAGGTGTATTTGTTATTATAAAGCACTAATTAAATGTGGCTTTGAATGTTTAGATTTTATCATTATTGTATTTAACCTGCCACTGCATGACTTTAAGATCATAACTCTACAGTATTCACTTAGCCAATTCTGTTTATTTTTCTAAGATAAGTCTTGACAATGTCTAGATCTGCCAGATACACACACACAAATATTAGAATTTTGCTTTGAAGACTTGAGCGTTGTTGAGTTAAAGTCAACATGTTTAAAGTTTGTGTAACATAACAAAATAGAAAAATTATTACTAGCATTAGTTTTATCAGAAAATATTTTTGTAAAATGTCTAAGTTTATTTTGAAAATGAAGCTCCTTGGACTGACCCTTTGTGATATGTGAGAATCTACTTGCCTTTCTTTTCTCCCTAGAAATTCAGCTACTGTAAAGCCAGAAGAGGAATGTGAATCTTTTGATTTATCTTCTGTGTCTTGGGTTTCAATTTCTCGAAAGAAGCGAAAACCACAGAAAAAGAGAACATCTGCTTTATTTGAAGAAAATCGGGAAGCTCAGCAGCATAACAGGAGAAAAAATAAAAGGGAATTGGAGAAAACAGTTATGCCAATTCCAGTGCAGGAACTAAATACAATATTATATGATGTTGGTGAAACAAGTTTTGATGGATTTCAAAATGCTTCAAGAATTAATCAAGTAATGGCTGTGGAGAATGATAAATCACAATTGGTTAGGTCTTTTGTTACCTCCCATGAAACAAGGATGCAAATGCATTCTAAAAATAAATATAAAGATTTAGCAGGAATACATGACAGAACTTACCCAATAAGTAGAAACCAAGCAAAAGACCATATACCTTTACTAGAAGCAGAGCAAAAGTCATCAGTCCAGATACAACCTGTAAAAAAAGCAAAACAAAGCTCATCACAGAATAAGTTGACCACACAGACAAAAGTGCAAGATGAAAAACAAGAGAGTAGTGTTTTGGCTCTACCATCAAAGGACTGCACACAATCTAAGAATACAGATATTTATTCTGACAATTCAGTTTCTATGCCATGCTTTGTTCCTGTAGCTCATAATACACTGGATAAAAAGTTACAGTTACCATTCAAAAAACAATCAGGGACTCAAAAGAAAAAGAAAAGATCCGCTGTTGTACGTATGAGGAACAAGAACAGGCAATTTGTTTCAAAGGGGAGCCTTGAAGATGGTCATGGAGAGGAACAGTTAGATAAAAAGAAGATTCTTCATCCTTTTAAGCTAAGAGTTGAGTTAAAGAGAGCAAAACCTCAAAAAGTAAAAGAGACTTCTTTGCCAAAGTCTCAGAATAATGTATTATATCAAGAAGATTCTTGTGAGCAGCATGTGACAAAAAAACATTTAAATGTTTCAGTAACACCACAAAACAATGAAGAATTATCACAGTAAGTTATGATTGTACAATTATGTTTTAATACTGCTTTTTCTTAATGCAATGCAATTTTGTACATTGGGATCATTGATCAGCTTTGAGCAAAGCCATTAATACTCAGCTCAAGTGGTTAGACCTCTTCTGAGGTACAGATTGGGACTTCGATAATTCCCTGAGTACACATACCAATTACAGCCATTTTTCTTTTATTTAAAATAACGTATATGCTTGTATTCATCCCTAGGAATCTTTAGGTATTTTGCAACAGTTTTTAAAGTGCTAAAATAAGCTAAATGAAATAAAAGAAGAGATGGCTGAAGACTAGTAACAAAAAAAAAGGAATATATAAAATTTACCTGAAAAACAATGATGGAGTTAGAATGGACCTTGGAGGTCTTCTAGTCCAACCCTCTGGTCAAGCTGAAAACCCAATACTATTTCAGACAAATAGTTGTTAAATCTCTTAAAAACCTCCAGTGTTGGAGCACCCAAAACTTCTGGAGGCAAGTTGTTCCATTGATTAATTTCACCTTAGTTCTAGCTTGGTTCTCGCCTTGATTAGTTTCCAACCATTGTTCCAGAGCTTCGGGTGCTTTGGAGAATAATTGACCCCCTCTTCTTTGTGGCAGTCCTTTAGATATTGGAACTCTGCTATCATATTACCCATTCTTTTCATTAAACTAGACATACTGAATTCCTACAACTGTTCTTTGTATGTTTTATCCTCCAGTCCCCTAATCATCTTTGTTTCTCTTCTGTGCGATCTTTGCACTACAAACATCAGTATTGGCTTGGAATATTGTAATGGTTGGCATTGGAAAAGCCTTATATTCGTATTGTAGGCCTTGGAAAATTATTTTTTGAGGTAATCTGCTAGTTAAAGCCTTTGTAGATTAGGCCTTAAATATGGCTTGGACACAGACTGAAAAGCAGTGCAGATCTGTTAGCAAGATTTAATATCTATAAGATAAATTATGCCATGTTGATCTAACAGCATCAGTTCTAGCTAGTTACATCTTGCAGACCAGTCAGCTGTAGAACTTTGTTAAATGAAAATACAAGTAGTCCTCAACTTATGACCACAATTGAGCCCCAAATTTCTGTTGCTAAATGAGATAGTTGTTAAGTGAATGTTGTCCCATTTTATGACCTTTCTCGCCACAGTTGCTAAGTGAATCAGTTAAGTTGTTAAGTTAGTGACATGGTTGCTAGTGTTTGGGGATAAACCCCTAGCAGAGTATGCAGCAGCAGT